CTACTAACAATTTCGTTACTTGTTCTGCATATTTAAAGTTGTAGTTTTGCTTAAATCAGCTGTTACACTTTACTGTGATTTAACAAATTGTCGAATATGCTATTGTATTAAATCTGTTGTGTATATTTGAATTTATTGTATTCAAAGTTATTGAATCTGCTACTGCGAATCCGGTATCCAATAGTGAAACAATTTTCCTACAAGTAGTAACGGGCGGTAGATTGGGTTTTGGTTGGCTAGGTGTGCAATTGGAGCAGCTGATGGCGTGTTTGCTTTGCCTTAGGGAAGATTGTGGGATTGTAGAAAATTTAGGTTGGTGAAGTAGGTAGGTGGTCAGGCATGTAGTCCATGAAGGAGCATGACGAATTTGACTATCCGGTGACTATAATGGGCGTCGATAATGCAATGGTATATCGGAGAGATTGCTTCTAAGGTTTAGAAACCGGAAGGGATATTGGCCAAATTTTGGGTGTAGTAGGTTGAACCGTGGGTGGTGGATGGTGGTGGTGGCGCAGTTGGATTGAAGTATTTGTGACCAATTATTTAGGTGATTGTATCCACTAAAATGATTAATTGGTGACCAATAAATAATATGTAATCGATAAAAAGATAATTCGTGATCAATAAATAATATGTAACCTTAAAAAATGTAAGATTGTGACTAAATTTATAATCATAACTCACAATTTGTTAAGTTGTTACCAATTAATTTGATAATTTGTGATCAAAAAATAACTTGTAACTAATTAATTGAATAATTTGAAATCGTGAAATAAGTTGTGACCTGTAAAATTTATGATTGTGACCGAAAAATAATACATGATCTATTAATTTGATAATTTATGATCGGTAAATAAATTGTGATTTATAAACATGTGATTTGTAATTGAGAAATAATGCGCGGCCAATTAATTTGATAATTTGAATTAAGATGCTCTCATCAATTTTATTTTGACATCATTTAGAGATGGTAACATAGTAGCTTGTCCCATTCATGAGTCGAGCTCGTTCAGGATCTTAGCTCGTTCGACTTAATTTTTTTTTACTCCAATCCTAATTCGACCCTGCAAACAAGCAAATCGTGCATGCTAGCTTGCACAAGCTGACTCACTAGCTGCTCTTATTTTGTCTCACGCGTTGAGCTAGGCAGAAAATTTAGTCAATCAAACATCCCCCTCTTCTCTAAAATCTACGTCACTCTCAATTATTTATGTTTACAATTTTGCAGTTATTATCACTCTTTTGATTTTTCAATTTCTCTGAAAAATTCTTATTACAACTGTTTATATTTTTGTTGTTTTATTATTTTACCAACTTTACATAATTGTCAGCTCATCATCATTTTTCCCGTCACAGAGATAGTGTGCCTAGTTTCTTGCCAATTTTTCAAGAATCGACGAAAAGGTTAGTTATGTTACCGCGTTCGGTAAGATGAAAGAAGAATTATTCTTTTGAAATTATGAATGTAGTATTTCGTGAATTTTTGATATTA